CTAAGGTGTGTCATAATATTTTCAGTCACCCTATATGCATGTGAGAACTGCACAATGAATAAGGAAGACTGAAGAATTGATGCTTTTGAGTTACGGTGCTGGTGAAGAATGCTGGAAGTACCATGGACTGCTAAAAGAACTAATAGTTCTGTCCTGGAGGAAGTGCAGCTGGAATGCTCCTTGGAAGTGAGAATGGCCAGACTTTGTCTCACGTACTTTGGTCAAGTTGTCAGAAGGGACCATTCCCTGGAGAAGGATGTCATGCTTGGTAAGGTGGAGGGTCAACGAAAGAGGGGAAGACCCTCAATGAGATGGATTGACATGGTGGCTGGGGCGATGGGCTCAAGTATAGCAGGGATCACGGAGCTGGCGGGGGATGGGGCGGTGTTTTGTTCTGCTGTGCATAGGGTTGCCGTGAGTCGGAGATGACTTGGCGGCACCTAACAACAACAACAACCACTCAAAGTATAGCAACAATGGTGGCACAACATGAAAAATGTCACCAATGTCCCTGATATGTAAATGTCAAGTTGTTATGTTGGTGAGTGTCCTGGTGTGTATGTTTTTATCACAATAAAAAGAAAAGAAAAAACTCAATTCTCCACTCTAGCTGGTGGAACTGTGATGTATATTCCTGGGTCAAGGTGGGCTCTAGGGAGACTGCTATCTGTCTATGTGGAATTTCACCCTTTGAGTGTGCAGAACAGTACTCAGCCAAAGACTTGAGAAGACCTCACTGCAGATATCTGGAGTTCTGTCTCTTTCTCTGCAGTTTTCTCCTCTTCAGTACTCCCCCGCACCCACACACACAAATTCTAGGTGCCCTGGCCTCTTTGAACCTGGCTCTCTGTATCCTTGGCTCAGCTGGACCACTGGGCTTGTTGGGGTCCCATCCCTACTTTGTGGCTTGGGAACTGCTTTTAGACAGTAAGCTCGGGCAATTTTTAGGGCTCATCTTGTTTGTTTTCCTTCTTTGAGAATCATAGTCCCTGTTGTCCGATGTCTGAATACAGTTGTTCCATATATTATGTTCAGCTGTCTAGTTGTTTATGATGGGAGGGAAATTCCCGTGACAGTTAATCCTTCATGGGCTGAAGCAGGAGTTCTCTCCAGAATGTTAATTATTTCAGTTGGGAGAGAAGTTTCAGGTGTTTACTGTACTGCCATTATGCTCATATTCAGGCAGCTATCTCTCAGTCATCATTTCCAGCACCAGGCTTACATACCGTCCAGTTAGCATCCCCATCAGGAAAAAAAAAAAAAAGTGCTTTTCTATCACTAGTATTTGAACAGCCCAGCATCGACTCCAATGGTGTACTTGCCCAGCCTGGAACAGTCACTGGTATGCTGGACATGTATCAGGGGGTGGTGTACATCCC